TGTGTGTGTGTGTGTGTGTGTGTGTGTGTGTGTGTGTGTGTGTGTGAGAGAGAGAGAGAGAGAGAGAGAGAGAGAGAGAGAGAGAGAGAGTTTTCAGTACGAGCTAATGCATGGGGTGAATTGTGAGAGGAAATGGGATAAGGGGTGGGAGAGGAAATGGGATAAGGGGTGGGTATTTGGTCACCAATCCCTCTCACCTCTTCTGCAGCAGACCGTGGAGAAACCGGCTCAAGGGGAATAGGTTGAAGTGCAGGCGCATGAGCGCAGGGCACACGGAACTCCCTGACAACCATGTGGCTGATGACAGCTTCAACGCCGGCAAGCGCATCCACTCCCTATACTTGGCCAACAACAAAGCCGAGTAAACTGAGTTCGAACCAAAATTACAAACAAGCAGAAGTGTGCTTCGGGGACATCTGCTAACAATGGAACAATACAAAGAATATTAGCATGACCCCCATGAAATGATGACATACATAAATAAATAAGAAAATAAATAAAAATATTAAATATTAAATAAATAATACAAACAAGTGAAGGATTTTGCTGATCCAACGGCCTAGCTGAGTTGGTAAGGCACGCAAGTAGCATTCAGGAGGTCTTGGGTTCAATCCCCATTGGCCTCATGCACCTTCCTGGGCAAGCTTGGCGCCCGCCACCTAGAGATATGCCGTTGGTTCCCCCGAGTGGCATTGAGCAGAGACTGCTGATGTTCATAGGGGGAGGTGACCGGAGGGGAGGCACAGTGACTGGCCCATCGAAGAAGCTCGGTCCTAATGCTACCAGCTGACCCCTGGCCGGTATCGCCCACCTGCTGGTGGGTGCAGCTCCCGCATGTTCCCTCGTTGGAGGCTTGAGCACGGATGTGGCTGCTACGGGGTTCCCCGTAATACTATAATGAGTATTAATGACAATAAAAAAAAAGGCCTGAAAGGCCGTCCTGTCCAGATTTGACAGGTAATTGAATTGGTTGGGCTTAAAGAATTAGCCTTAAAAAAAAAAAAAAAAAAAAAAGATTTCGCTGATCAACCCTCTGCTGGATACACTTTAAATGATGCTGTTTGCAATTTTTCCCTCATGGTTTTGCACCTATTTGCGTCGATGCCCCCATAGTTTTGCCTGGCGCGCTATACAATGCCTCTGTGAACAGAATGTACCTTCACCTACAGACGGCCAGGTGCATGATCCGTAGGAGCGTAGGAGGTTATGGAGTCTCCCAGGTGCGTCCTCAATTTGTGTGCGTCATCCAGCGTTGGGCATACACCTGCCGCAACCGCAGTCGCATCTCCTTCATCCTTGCCAGCCGAACCACAGACACAGCTGCAGCCCGAGGAGAAAAACAGACTATCATATGAACTACCTACAGTGCGCAGTACTGAAAGGTTATCACCCACCGCCAGGGCGAGTTGTTGCAGACCAAATCTTGCAACAGCTAAACACCCTTACTTTGGATCAGCCCTTGTCATCACACCAAATCTTGCTACAGCTGCCCATAGAGAAGGAATACTGACTGCGGAGACCCCAAGAAACTTGCTCATGCCACTCTGTGTTGCCCCCCCCGGCGCTCCCCCCCCCCCCCCCCCCCCCCCCCCCCCCCCCCCCCCCCCCCCCCCCCCCCCCCCCCCCCACCCAGCCCGGCCGCCCGCCCACTCACACCCACCGACCCAGCCCGGCCGCCTGCCCGCCCCCCCCCCCCCCAAAAAAAAAAAAAAAAAAAAAAAAAAAAAAAAAAAAAAGAGATTTGGCTAGGATGTGATTCGGATGCTTTGTGTTGCGAGGATATGAAGGGATAGCCCAATGGATGCAACTTTTTGTTTTCAGACGTATGATGACATGGGGTCAACATTGCACTCATGTACGGCACCCTGACATGTCATGTTCAATCTGTAGACGGGGGCTGGAACGGCAATGCTGATCAAAATTCCGGTCGGCGTGCCTCTGTGTCCCTCGCATGTAGGAGCCAAGTAGCCTGCGACGTTTGTCCACGCTGTACCATTCGATGCAGCAACTGCAACTGTGAGAATTGGATGCAGCGCTTCCACAGTACACACTCGCGACAAGGTTCCAGATACCCAGGAGTATCTGTTTTTTGGCCGGCATTTTTCTAAGCAATCGATGGTCTAGACTCTAGACTCTATTTTTTCTGGTAGACTCTAATTTTTCTAGTAGATTGTAATCTACGGGTCTAGACTCTAATTTTTCTAGGGCAATCTACGGGTCTAGAGTCTAGACTCTAATTTTTCTTTTCTTATAATCTACGATCTAGAAGACTCTCGTTTTTCTCAGTAACCTACTGTTCTAGACTCTAGTTTTTCTCGGGTAATGTGCATACTAGAGTCTAGAGTGAAGCGTCCAGGCAAATGGGATATTGCCCCAGGACAGCTCCCGAGTCCCAACCCAGGTCTGGAACTGATCCAGCAGGTCTTCTGTAGTCACAGCCCATGTCAATCAATCAATCAATTAATAAATTATTTAGTTAATTAACTAATTAGCTGGGCTACCAGCCGGCCTGCCTGAGTCACCTTGTTTGACAAATGCAGCCCGGCCGTGCAAGGACAAGGGAAGGGCCCGCCAAAAAAAAAAAAAAAAAAAAAATACTCTAGGAAAAAAAACTATGTGATGCACAAAAATAAACTGAACAGCTTTTGCCTCAGGGTCACATCGAAATTCCTCACCAAAAACTGGACCAAGATGGCACTGTGCACAAGCGCTAGCGCTCTCGAGCGTTAGCGTTACCGCTAGTGCCTCTGATTTTTTTTTCGCCGGAGCGAGTGCCTGGGCTGTGGGGGATCGTGTTCGTGCAGCTGCGATCAGTGCTGCGGGGTGCCGAAACCTAGGGTTGGGTGGTGGAGGCGGTGGGGGAGAAGAGGCGTGTGGGCGAAGGGTGGGGACCACCTTGAGGAAGCACTGAAATGCTTCTGCCATATCCTCGTCCCGGTCGGTGTATGCTGGCATTCCTGGAGAGACTACGGGAGGACAAAGGAGATGTGTGGTGGTCCGAAGGGCGGGATCTGGGCGCCGCACAGACCAGTATGTGAAACCTGTCAGGGACTTTGTCCCCTGGCTTTGATACGGAGTCAGAAGCTGAAGATTCATGGGGAGATGAGAGACGCATGTGCATCGACGAGCGCCGGCTTCCGGGAGAGCGACACTAGAGCTTATCTGTGACCGGTACCGCCCACCGTCGTTGACAACGGGCTTTAATCTGCGATTGGCATCGCTTTGTGTTGCTGATACTCCTACTTCAGGTGTGGTGTAGCTTGTGAACTCTTCATCCTTACTTGGTTCTTCGCTGGTACAGATTATGAGGGTAAATTCATTCACGTTGGTGTGTCTAGTGGGTATTTGGTTTTCGTTTCTTTGCCTGTGAGCTAGTTAGGGTTCATTCGTTCGTTGACTGTTTAGCTGTGTTTTCGGTGGAATTCTGTTGGTCTTTTTGAGTGTTTAGGGTTGGAGGTGTAGGTTTCGGGTTGCATTTTCCTTTTGACGGTTCAAGTTGGTTTGTGTTTCAGTGTTAGGGTTGGCAATGTTAATTAGTGTTAATTAGGGTGTGATGTTGATTAGTGCAAGGAATATGAGTGTGAACGATATACAGAAAACGAAGTTGCGAAATCACACAGATGTCCAGGTGGTCGATGTCCAAGCAGAGAGTACAAAATGCACCGAGAAATCATCCATATAGAGCAATACAATGAAGTAGTGAGCCAATGTCCAAGCCCGTAGGCCACACCAACATAGTATCCAAAGTCGCTTCCCTCTGTCTGGCGCCCAGTGCCCAACCTACTCTACCCGACTATCCTACCTACAGCTGGTTCACGCAACAGGCTCACTTCGACTCACGACGACCAATGTACATGACTGTCAACACCATAGCCGACCTCTCTTAATGCACCAGGTACGTATCTCGTCACCCTCAATCAGACCTTGATTATCCACACTCGCCTCCTTCCCTGAAGACCACCTGATCGCCCTCCTACCCCCTGGTGCCCAGCAGCCCGGCTATGGATGTCTGCGCCCCGCTGCCCAGCAGCGCCCCACCTCACCACTACGCGCCCCGTCAGCGCCTTTGGCAGCAGCGCAGCATCAAGCGATAGCGCAGCAGCACTTCCGCATTGCCTGCAYTGGCCAGAATGCCTGGSCTGGGCTGCCTCACTTCTTTTATGGAAGTGGCAGCCTCCAGGATGCTGCGTGTSGCCTGGCTGGAAGCTTCCAGTAGCTTCCGGTTGGGCCTCAGACCCTGCGCCCGGCCTGGGCCCTTTTCAGTTGGGCACGGCCTGAGTCTCCGGACTTGGGCTGTTTGCTGCATCTGTGCAGGGCTCCCAGGTAGGTGCGTTGGCAGTACTGCTTTTCCAAAGGCCGATGGCCTGCTTCCCGATGTATCGGCCCTGCTTTGTGTGTATGTGCCCAGGCGCAACTGTCAAGGCCTGGGCCAACTGTATGACACAGCTTAGTGAGGCTCACGCGTCTACCCAACCAACTGGCGTGCTGCGAGAGCCTGCATACCCACATATGGAAATGTCGAAATTTGGCCTTTGCTGAATATTCAGGCCCGCCTTTACTTAGGGCGGGCACTCGGCTTGCTGGGGCGTTAGCCCAGAACACGTGATGTCTGATAGGGCCCCTTGAGGGCTCGTTCCTCACATTCCATCCCCCTTAGCTTCGAAAGTCCACTGAGATGCTTCATGCTGGTGCCTTCCCTTTCAGTTTCTTCTCATAATCTGCCACGATCTGAGGAGCTTGTCTTGACAAGTTCCTCCCTTGAAATCCATCGATCTTCCTTAGGATCAGTATGATGCCTGAAATGTACTCTGTATTCCCTTGCAGGTTTCAGAGGTCTTCCCCTGCCAGGTGGCTTGGGAACAGGAGTGTCCCTGTGATCCAGGATGTCGTCGACGTCCACGTGGCCATCCATGGTTGGGGGCAGCATAGATCTCTGTGATGGGAATTGTGCTGTCTCAGCGAAAGGTGCAAGCTTGGAGGCATGAAAAACAGGGTAAGTGCGTAAGTGACAAGGGATACGAATGACGTACAACGGACCATCCAAATCATTCCCCACAATATCCAAGACTTCCCTGGTACCGAAAGACTGAGGCATTAGTATCCTAGAGATGCCAAACTCCTGTCCCAACTCACTAGCCTTGACCCAGACACGTTCCTGTACCCGAAATGTGGATTGTCGGCGCTTCTTATTCTCATAAGCAATCATGGCTTCCTGAGATTTCTTGATGTGTTTGAGATTTCTTGATGTGTTCGACTGTCTGCTGCAACAATTTCTCGTACTGGACACCAAATTCAATGGTTCCAGGAGTTGCAGCAGTTCAGTTTTCAGGCAGGA